TCCTCCTCCTCCTCCTCCTCCTCCTCCTCCTCCCCCTCCCCCTCGGGTTCCCCTCCCCCCCTCCCCCCCCCCTGTTCGTATGTCCTGGTGATGAGGAGAATTCAGCAAAGTGAGGAGGGAAAGAACCAATCATTTACTGAACATTCACCACCGGCCATGCACTCAACAATTAAATCTTATTTGAGTCTTTGTGACAACCCCCTCTGAGTGTATCTATTATCCCCATTTTACAGATGAGAAACTGAGGCTCCAAGAGACAAACCAACTGCCTGAGGTCACAGGGTGTAAGTGGTGGTGAGAATTCACACCAAGGCTCTTCCACTCTGAGATGCCCAGCGGGGAGCCTGGGCCAGGCAGAAGCTCCAGGGTGGGCCTGGGATGGGGGTGGGAGGTGCTGTCCACACTGGCTCAGCAACCCCTCCACAGACTTTCTTCCCTCATCCAGGATTAAAGGAATCCCTAAGTGAAAAGCCATTCAGGCCTCTCCTTGTCTCTCCTCCATCTGAGCCCCCTCCTCCCTCTGCACCAGCACCTCCCTGCACCCCTGCTCAGGCCCTGGGAGCAGCTGCGGTGACCTCACCCAGCCCTGCCCTGGGTCTGGCTCTGGGGAGGGCCCAGCAGCTGTGCCCTAGCCCTGCTGGCTGGCTCCAGGGGGAAAAAAGGAAGAGTGGGCATGGTGCCAAGAGAACCATCTGCTCTCCCAGGGGCATGGCCACCCGCACAGACACTGGCCTCACCCCCAGAGGCTGCCCTTGGCCCCTGTCCCCATGCCAAGGGGCTCTAGGAGCCCAGGCCAGCCCACCCAAACCCGGGCATCAGTCCTCATCTGCCATCTGTCTTCTCCTGGATACTGAGAAGTCCTTACAGGGCATGTTGGAGCATGAATGTCCACGAAAAGATGAACAAGTGCAGAGGCCAGAGGGCAAGGCTGGGTGTGCTGAGCCCTATCTGCCCCAGCCTTGCTGGGCTAAGAGCCTGTGATCTCCTGGGGAGGGGCCTGCATCCCCTCACATCTGCTCAGCTGGCAGGTGCCTCTGGCAAAGGGTAAGCCCCTTCCCCCACAGCCCCAGCTCAGGTTACAGAGGAGGCAAGGCCAGCTGAGGACAGGGGGAGGGGACAGGAGGGGTGGAGGAGGCATCACAGCTTCCCAGAGTGTTGGGGGAGGGGGAATTCAGATCTCTAGATAGGACTCCAAGCCAGAGAGGGAGGAACCATGCCCAAGGTCAAAGCCTCCCAATGGTTAAAGAGGAGCTGGTGTCCAGGGGCAGGTAGCCCTGGGTTCGAGAGTGACCTTGAGGAGGAGCTGGTGTCCAGGGGCAGGTAGCCCTGGGTTCGAGAGTGACCTTGAGCAAATCATTGTCCTCATCTGTGAAAATACAGAACCTACACCCTGCCTGCTTGCCTCCCAAGGCCATGGGGGAAGGCTCTGTGGGCTAGAAAGCAGTGGGTCAACCTAAGGGCAGGACAGAGCTTGGACATCCTGAATATCCGACACCTCAAGGACAGAAAAGGAGGCAATAGAGCAAGAACCCCTCTCACACACACAACACACACCACACAGCCCACACACACAACACACACATACCAGTGTCTCTCAGGGATCAGGGCTTAAGGACCCCAACTCAACATAGTAGTAGGGAGGTGGTTCTTTTCCTCCCCCCGGGCAATGATTAACAGTAATGATATTTACTAAGATTTATTGAGCACTTTACAAGTATTTCTCCTATAGTTCTCACAACAAAGCTTGGGCATAAGTCCTGTTATTATCCCATTTTGTAGAGGAGGAAACAGGTCCAGTTGCCCAAGGCCACACAGGGGATGAGTGGTAGAGCTAGTGTCTGCCCTTCCCTTCTTGCCTCCAAGACTCCTAACTATACTACTGTCTCACCTCCGAAATCCTCAAGGCCACAGGCCTGGAATCTTGGACTCTGTGAGCTTCCATCCTCTCTCAGGCTCATATTCTCTACCCCGGCACTAGGCCCACACTGGGCGCTTGAGCCAGGCTCCCTACTCCACCCTCTACACTACTCTCAAGTGATCTTTCTCCATCCCCAACAGCTTGGAGTACCAGCTCCCCATTTTGGCATTCAAGGCCACTCGCCCTCAGGCCCTTGCTTGCTTCTCCAGCCTCAAGTCCTGGCCAACACAGCCAGAACTCCCAGAGTCCTGCAGGGTCTGACCTCCTTTGTCTGGTTCCCTTCCCCTTCCCCCAAACACCCTTAGCTTATTATCTGGCCTTCCATCATGACCCTGAGCAGTCTTTATCCTGAATCAAAATCCGGAGTCCTCATCTTATCTTCCCAGATTGACCCTGGGGAATCTCAAGGTCAAGGAGATGTTCAGTTCCTCTGAGCAGCACTGCACAATGGACCTGGATTGAAGTGAATGGAGGAAGCTGCCATCAGTCTTGGGGCCTGCAGATGGAGGGAGGAGACATCGTGGGCTGGGGGACATCTCTTAAAGAGCTCTCTGAGAAAACCAGGGACCCTGGATCCACGCATGCCCCAGACTGCAAGCCTCAGGGCCAAACTCCGAGGGAAGCAGAGATGATAGGGGCGGGACATGGTGGCGGTGGTGGTCGGGGGTCAGTTTGGAATGGCCTGGCCAGAGCACTAGGTTAGGAAAGAATGAGCCCTGGGGAGTTTCATTTCTGTCACTTACAGTGGGATACTGTGAAAGCCACTTTATATCTCTCAGCATTAGTTTCCTCATCTGCAAAACAGGGACAGTAACATATCAGCTTCACAGGATTGCTGTGAGAATGAAACAAAAGCATGTCGTGAGGGCTGAATCCTGAGCTGGAATAGTTCAGTGTGGATAAAGCAAGGGTCGGAAGATGAGAGTGGTGAGTGATGTGGCTGGAGAGGTTGACTAGGGCCAAGTGGTCAAGGCCTTGGGCTTCAGTTAAAGCCCCAGGATTGGCTCCTGTGGGAACAACACTGTGCTGTACACATGCTCTTGTCTCTCCCACCAGATGGGGAGCTACCAGAGAGCAGGGGATGCGACTTTCAGGTTCTTCACCATTCTGAGTATTCACACTGACATTTCCCCTCCATCCTGCAGCCAAAGGCTCAGTGGCAGGGCACAGCTCCCCATTCTTTTTTTCCAGTTGTAGACAGCATGACTGCTACAGTGTGGGGGCTGGGGAATGTGTTGAAGATGGGGCAGGGGGTGGAGGGGAGTGGTCAGCCCCTTGGAGCTCACTATAGGGCGTTCAATTCTCTGGAAAACCTAACAAAGAGCGAGGAGGAGGAGGAGGAGTGGCTCAACCTGGACGGCCTGCTTAGAGAAGAGGCTGGTCCACCCTGGAAAACAGAAGAAGGCAAGAGCAAGCAGGAGCCGGGGGAAGTTACCATCTAAGGCATCAGTTCAGAATCTGACCATCACCAGACAAACCTGTTAAAGTATAGATTCCAAAGTCCACCTGACGAGCGTCTGACATAGAGGGTTTGAGATGGGGACTCAACACCTTTACTCACTAAAAGCTTCTAGGTAACTCTGATCATCAGCCAGGTTTGCCAACTAAGGATTTAAGGCGGAAATTCTCAGGCAGACGCAGTGGGTTCCAGAATCACCTGGGAGGGAGGTCTTTGTTCAAACCACCCAAGCACCCCGCCTAGTTTCTGAGGGGTGTCCCAAGGGATCAGTTCTACAGCTGCCTTGGTGAGCATGTGACAGTGGAAGTGGGTGTGGGTTGAGAACTCCAGTGTCAGCTGCAAGGTGGCAGTGGGAAGGCAGCCTGAGATCAGAGGCAGCAAGGAAAGTTGGAGGGAGGGCAGGGCCTGGGACAAGGCCAGCAGAGGGCCCAGGGGTCCAAACAGCAGTTTGGGCTTGGTTGGCTCCCAAGGGAACTGAGGAGTCCCAGAGGGTTCTGGAGCATGCGTAAGCCTTGGGGCAGGAGGGCTGGCTGGTGTGTGGGCTGGCACTGCACGGGCATTGGGAGATGGTAGAAACAGACAGGTCTAAATCTAGGCTCAGCCTCGTCCCAGCTATACTGCCGTAGCCAAGTGACTTCATCTTTCCGGGCCTCCATTACCTCAGCTGCAAAATGGGGCTAAAAACATGTACCTGTTAGATCCCAGAGAATATGAAATGAGAGAATTTCATATTGAAGTGCCCACTGACTACCTAGCGCCCAGACATTATTGCTCTTAATTCTTATTCCCCTTCCCACAAGAGGCATCCCCCTTAGAGACCAGAAAGGTTCTCTGCAAAGATGGAGGCCCTGGGGGGGAGGGTGTGGGAGGCCCCTCCCCTACACGCCACCTGGCCCCCCTCCCACCTCCACATATGGGTTGGGGGGTGGGGAGAGGCAGCAAACAGCCAAACCATCCCAAACTGGGGTTGGTTTCTATGGTAACCAGGGTGCCAGGAGGAAGGGGGTGCTCTAGATCCAGCTGTCCCCCTGAGCACCCTACCCAGGCCCCAGAGCCTCAGCTAATGCCCACCCAACACCCTCCACCCCCCATCTGCCTGCTCTGGGGGCCAGCTTGGACTGCCATGAGGGCCAGGAACGAGGTGCCCACTAACCAAGCACCTGGCCGCCATTCTTCCAGGTGGTTATTAAGACTCCTATTTCGCAGATGAATAACTGACTTGCCCCTTCATTGTGCCTAGAGTATGTTTGCCACCTGGGCACTGCCAGGGGCAGGGTGGGAAGTTCCAAGCAGAAGTCCCAAGTTCGAGTCCACCCAAACCTGTACTCATACACGTCCACCCTGAGAAATTCTATCAGTACTTTGTGTCCTCAGTCCCAACCAACCCCTCATAACTCCTAGAACCAGAGGGGTTGTCAGTCACACCCCGGAAAGAACCAGAGACCGAGTTAAGGCCCTTTGGACACTGATGAGAATACTGAGGACCGGGAATGGGAGAGAGCTTTGCTCCAGCTCACATACACTGGGTCGGGTTCCCCTATCGGTGCTCCGTCCACCCCACGCCCACTCCCAACTCCACAGCTCCAACTGACCCCAAAGGACTGACCTAGGACACCCTGAGTGATGCTCCAGGGAAATGAGACGCAGCTGGGAGAAAGAAAGAAGTCCTAACATTCAGACCTGACTAGCAAGAGAATGGCAGTGCCAGAGGTCATGAGCTCTCAGTCACTGGGAGTGTGTGAAGGGACTGAGCTGGGGGAGGAGGCATGGAAGGGTGTGTTGGGCTCTGTGAGTCCCCCTTTCCCTGGGCACCTGAAGTCTGATCGGAGGTGGAAGAACTGGACACCAGTGTGTACCAGGTTCCCAGGTTCCCACCCCCACAGGCTGCAGGAGGGAGGGTGCACTGGTGAGTCAGTCACAGGTGAGGGAGGCGGGGAGGTGAGGAGCAGCTCTGTGATAGCTGGTACAACCATACCCCAGAGGTTCATGTCCACACACAGTCCAGAATCACCCCTCACAAGACACAGAGAGCAGGGCTTCCACCGCCCCCAGGACCACACGTGGTGGCCACCACCAGCTGCCACTCCAAGAAAAGAGAAGGTGGGCTTCCAGGAAAAGCTCGCTTCTAGCCTCGATGGCACAGGAAAAGCTTACACTTGGGGGTCAGAAGGGGGTTCAACTCCCAGGCCTGCCACTTCCTAGGATGTGACCCCAGGGCAGGGCAGTTCTCCTTCTGGGAAAGAGAGATCCTAATAACCACCTGGAAGGACTCTGCCAGGCGCTTGGTTAGTGGGCACCTCCTTCCCGGCCCTCTCAGCCAACCCCACCCTCGCTGGCAAAGCCCCAGCTCCATTCAGTCCTGAGGCCTGAGGCTGGAGTCCTCCGGCCCGAGAGAGAGAGAGAGAGAGAGAGAGAGAGAGAGAGAGAGAGAGAGAGCCCCCGAACCGCAGAAAGTGGGGGTTGGTGGGCACTGAACTTTCGAACCGCAAACCCCACCCCACCCCCACCCCCTCGCGCCGTTCATTACCTTAACACGAGTTAAAAATAACCGTCTCATCTCTTTAAATTAGTCTGTCTGCAATTACCGCCTGGCACGGCGCTGCCCGCCATCGTCCCGCTGGAGCGGCGCCAGGTGGCAGGCGGGGCCCTCACCCTGTCTGTCGGTCTGTCTGCTTCCTAGTGCCCCCTCTTCCCCTCCCCGCAGCGAAGCTACCCCCAGGGGCCTGGGGGACCCAGCTCCCCAAGTTGTGTGGGTATGGGCCCAGCACCCTGGGGCTCCCGGACAGTCAAGCGCGAGGGGGCGGGCGGGCGGGGAGCCGAGGGCTGGGGTGGGGGCTCCAGCGCGCGGGGGAGGGGCCTCGGGAGGCCCGGAAAGCCGGAAGGGCCCGCAGCGCCAGCGCTAGCTCGTGGGTGGGTGTGAGCAGGTGGCCGTGGGAGTCTGCCGGGCGTGCCAGCAACTGTGCCAGGAGCGGCTGGCACGGGCTTGTGCCCAGGAGGCGGGCAGCTGCCAGCCCCCCGCTCGTGCAGTGTGTTTGTGGGGGGGTTGTGAGGACACCCCCCAACCCTGGCTCACACAGCCTCTTCCCACACCCCACTAGCCCTGGGGGCTGGGGATCCCCGGAGGACAAAGAAGGAGGAGGGAGCCCTGCTCCAGCAGGCTAGGGGAGGAAAAAAGGGGGCGCCCCCTGTACTCACACCCTATGCTCAGCCCAGCTGTAGCAGGACCCTCCTCCTGGAGTCTCAGATCAGTCCCTCCCTCTAGCCCCCATCCCACTTAGGACCTATTGGCCAGCCTGGGCCGATGGGGGTAGCACACCATCCCTCCAGATCCCACCCCCCAACAGCCAGGCTGCTCCAGGCCCTGAGGGTGAAGAGAAGTCCTCATCGCCGTGCTCCTCCCCCACCAGGCCTGGGGACAAGAATGGGAGGCGCCCAGGCTTGGCCTGGGAGCTCCCAGGGGAGCTGGCAGCCAGGAAACAGGCAGAACAACTCCAGGGGCGATAAGAGACAGGAGTGCTAAGTGCTTCACCCGGACCCAGAGCAGCCTGGAAGGCTCCCTGGAGGAGTCATCACTAGGGAAGGTGGACCTGGAGCATCTGAGAGAAAGTGGGAGGCTCTACCTGGATGTCTGATAGCCACATTTCTGGGACACTAGAGGGATGGGGACCTCCTGTCCAAGCCTCTTCCCAGGCCTGGAGACCCTCTACTCTGAGGGGAACACTATCAGCCTCTATGTTAATGGATTTCTCAGCACCAAGGCTGGGAACTCTCTTCAGGCTTCAGCCTGCTGGGTGTACTGCGCCTGCTGCTGATCTTGCCTCCTTCGATTTGCTCGACTACCTCCCCACATCACAGGTGGGACCACCAGGCAAAGGCCACGCACATGAGCCCTTCCTGATCTGTCCCACTCTGCCTTTCCCGTGCCACCTCCCTGCCATCCTTAGGAGCCTTGGGTTTTAGCCTAGCATGCCAGGTCTCCCAGACCCAACATGCTCAATTCCACCTCCCCTGGAAGAATTTCTCCCAAGTTCTACCCCAATGAAAGAAGCTCAGATCAAGTGCCACCTTCTCAGTGAGGGCTTGCTGGGCTCCCCAGGGATCTAACCTGCCTTCCCCATACCTCTGCCCCCACCCCTGGCCCTTCCTGTAAAACACAGGGCCTGGGTGTGGAACTGGCTGAGCCCTGATGTGTCCTAAAGGCAGGTCCAATGTCTTTCCTTTTGGTTGACCTACTGCATCTAACCCAGGGTTTAGTACAACCCAGGGATCCCAGTCCAACATTTATGTGTGTGGGGGGCCGGGGGTGGGGGGGGGGGAGAGGAAGGAATAATGGGCCCTGGCCCCAGTCTAGGCACCTGAGGTGTACCACAGCCCCTGCTAACCAGAGGTTGGCTGGGAGTTAGGGATGGCCCCTCTACCAGGTCCCTGGAGGGACTGACTGGGAATGGGGGAAGAGGCAGCAGGGGGAGCAGGATGAGAGGGAGTAGAAGGAGGATAACCACCAGGGAATGAGATGGGAAAGGCCAGAGTCCCCTCTGAACAGCCCTCCCCCAGTGGCTGGATGGTCTCTGCCAGGGCCTAGGTCAGGAGCCCAAGCCTGAGTCTCCCTCTCCAATGCTCCAGCCCAGGACGAGCCTTCCAGAACTCCCTCCTTCCTGAGCCCAGACCCAGGGAGAACCACTGTGTCCTGAGCAGCTTGGTGCAGTGGGAATCGCATCCAATGGGCAGGCTGGAGGCCTGGGCCGTCATCCAGGGCCTGCTGCTCACTGATGGCCTGAGGAAAGTCCCATCTCCTTCCTGGGCCTCAGTCTCACAGTCTGAGAAATGAACTCGTGGGACTAAGTTGTCTCCAAACACATTCCCAATCACATTTAAGGATTTAGACCTGCCCCTGTTGAAAAGCCATCAGCGTCCCACTCCCACACCCAGCGCCAGCAGGACGCTATCTCAGAGGCTCTGTGGGGCATGGGAGGGAGAGACCCCAGGACCGGAGTCCAGCTCTCCCCTCTACTGACGGTGTGACCTTGGGCAGTTCACTCCTCCATGCCGTGCCTCAGTGTCCAGCTCTGTACATGGTGACAATAAAACCCCCCTCAGGGACTGATGAGAGCCTTTAAGGAGACACCTGGCACAGATGCCTGAGAGTGTCTGGCACAGGCTTGGGCCTGAGAGCCTCAATGAACTGCAGTTCTCTCCTAGCTTCCAGCTTCAGGTCCCCTCTGGGCATCTTCCCCCATCATCCCTAATCCTGGCAATCCCAGTGGGAGCGCCACCTCCTGTAGCAAGCCCTCCTGGCTTACTCTGGCCCACGGCCTCAGCATCCTTTGCACCATCCACCCATTTCTTCCCTTTTTCGCCAGAGAGCACTGGTGGCTCCTCAGTGCCAGGCTCTACCGCTGGGTGCTGTGGGCACAGAGCTTACTCCGACACTGCCACTGTCTTCCACAGGCAGGGTGGGGAAGGGAAACGAGATAGGACACAAAAGACTAAGACCTATGACAGGCAGGGAGAGGACCAGAGAAGAGGGGTTCCTAAGCTAACTAAAAAGGGTTAAGGAAGATTTCCAGGAAGAGGCACCTGAACTTTGCCCTTCAGAACAAGGACTATAGCTACAGGGAGAAGTAAAAGGTGGGACAGTGCATGGGGAGCAGGAAAGGAGGTGGGAGCAAAGCCCAAGGGCAGGGCACACTTGGGAGGAGTAAGTGTTCCAATGGGAGCTGATCCCAAGGGAACTGGAGAGGCTAGGGAAGAGCTGTGTCTGCTCCTCCACCCTGTGACCCCACCCCATAGTGGCCTGAGAGCCATAGGCTCCCAGGTCAGAGCACCCACAACCCCTATAATGCAGCCACTGGGCATCTAGTGTTGTCCATGTTGATAAGCTTGCCCCCCTCCCCTCACTGGCACACCTCCTCTGACCCTGTCTGCAGCCACCACCAGGCACAGCCCCCTC